TCACTGAGAGTGGCTGTAAAACTGTCAGTGACTGTGCCATGATGGGTATTTCCAAGATGACCTTAGCAATTTTAAGGTAAAATTCACTTGACATTGTAAAAGCAGCACTGTGGCTATAATTGCATAGGTGGGGTTGTTTAAGTCCTGTAAGAAGAAAACTATGTAATAAAAGGACATTAGAGCTAACTACTGCTTGTAAACCTTGCCTTTATCTGCCCTAGCAAGAACTGCCTCAGAGTTGTGCCTATAAAATAAGGAAGTCATCAGACAGTTAACTTCACATGCCTCCATTGACTTAACAGTATATGTCTAAGGTAAGGGAAGCTTGATAACCATCGAATAATATTACTGTACTCTTCCACAAAACTTGGTGATAATGGTCAGGCTACATAGATGCGATTACATGAATTAATTTATTTCTGACAATAATGTTCACTCTTGGAAGCAAAGATCAACACAGATAAAATTTGGAGGAGAAATGTCTTATCTCATCATGGTTTAGATATAATATTTCATGTTATTTTTGATAATACACTTTGAAAGGCCACTATAGATTATGCTTCCTGTGAATAAATTTCTTCACTATCCTGAAGCATTAAAACAAGTTTTAGAATATAGTAGGTGCTTGAGAAACACACACAAGAAAGTACTGCATTGCTTCTACCAATGAGGATGATTTACTCAACCAGATAGTTTGAATTCTGACCTGAAATCTGTAGTATATATAGATGGATACATAAATAAATGGATAGATAGATAGATAGATGGATGGATGGATGGATGGATGGATAGATAGATAGATAGATAGATAGATAGATAGATAGATAGATAGATTACATAACTGTAAATTCTTATGTTTTGGTGCCATGTGTACCTGGTGCCTGAGGAGGTCAGAGGAGGCCGTCAGATCCCCTGGGACTGGAATTTCAGACAATTGTAAACTGCCATATGAGTACTAGAAATCAAACACAGTTTCTCTAGAAGAACTGTCAGTACTACTCTTAAGCCCCGATCCATCTCTCCAGTCCCAAGATATAGATATTTCCTAAGGTTTTTGAGATAGCATTATTCTTAACTTTCTCTCCATGTATTTTAGCTCCTTTCAACATATGAGCCAATTTTCTCATCTACTGTGTGAAAAACTGTACCACAAGGCCATGTTGCCATCCTCATCCCTCATGAATTTGCTAGCTACCAGGAGGCAAACACTAACTGAAAATTGTGAGGTGACAAAGTTTATGATATTCTTTTGATGGGTAGAAATGAAATGTGGATGCATATAAGTAAATGAGATGCTATTTGAAGAAAAACTTCTCTGTAAAATCAGTGTCACTGAGGCAAGAGGGGGTATGAGGGAAGGAATTGTGAGTAAAGAGAGGTAAACTGATACCACAAAGAAACACTTATAGTTCCAACAGCATTTATTAGAGTTGTGGGAGGCAAAGTCATAGTGGTGCCTGTCTGCCATCCTCAAATCTGAAGACAGGGAAGGAGGATCATAAATTCGAAGACGGCTTGAGCCACAGAGCAAAACCTTGTCTCAAAAGAAAAAGAAGAAAACTGTGTCAGACAGAAAGAAACACACTAAGCAAGGATGAACAGAAGAGGAAGGATGCAGAAGTTTACTATGTAATTCATAAATACATGCTTCGTAGAAGCCAAACAGAAAGTCCAAAAAATTGAATACAGCTGTTTTGGTTGAGAGACTTCTGATGTGATTTTTTTTGACTAGCATATAAATATATGAGACTGTGGAGGAATGCTAAATCAAGGCATACACTTGCAATGTGTCAAAACAGTGAGCTAAGGACACACTGCTAAGAGTTTGTGAAAAACGATAAATCAAAAGACCACAACTATATGCCAAGGTATGCCAACACAGTCATAGTAGACTTCCCACGAGGAGTGTGAGTGGCTAAAATAGTTTTGGAGAGGCACTTTCAGTGGTCACAGAAGGTTAAAGAATTACGACACTATGATTTTGTAACTTAAATTTCACTTAGAGTAAAGGCATGTAGATTTGAGAATGTGTCCTGAGCTCCAGTCAAGCAGAAAGCAATGGAGAAATATTTCTGTAAACAGGAAGTAAGGAAACAATAACAGGATGCTAGGCATAGAGAATCTAGCATCAAGATAAAGAAAGAGAATACTAGGTTGGAGATTTTGGAGCAGAGAGTATGGGATCTCCAGGACAGCTTTGATGGGGAGCAATGTTGTTGAGTTGTGAAAAATATAATGCTGCTTTACTATTTCACAAAAATCAGTTTCAGAAGAGAAAATGAAGCACAATATAATTATTTAGTTCACAGGTCATAATATTTACATGGTTAAAAATGACAAGAAAAAATTTTAGTTATCTATGTATAACAGCTCTACGAGTATGTACATGTGCCTGTTTGTAGTTGTGAGCATGAGGGTACCCATGACACACACATGAAATTCTGAGGATATCTTGGATGTCAATTCTCACAACCCATATTGCTTGAAACAAGATATACAAGGCTAACTGGCTTGAATATGTCAGTGGATTCTGTCTTTCTTTCCCATCTAGCTACAGAGACTGGAGGTATGAGCTACTATGCCTCTTTTACATGCCTTTGGGGAATTTAAAATCAGAGCCTCAAATGATGTTGAAATAAAAGGTGGCTCATTTTTTTAATGTTCTTGAGGTAAAGGATTCAAATGTAATAAGCAAGGTGGTCCCATTGTTTGCCTTATTTATCCAAAGTTAGGAGTCACAGAGCAGCAAAGCTCTCTCACATCAGACTCACAGCTTAAATCAGACCAACACTTCCCTGTTCTATTTTCCCTTCTTTCCCCCCATTTCTTATATGTGTGTGTGTGTGTGTGTGTATGTATATACACATACATATATAGTATCACTTCCCCCTTGCAAAATTATTCAAGATATCCTCCCTCCTCCCCTGACAGTTTTATTCTCTCTGTCTCTCTGTCTCTGTCTCTGTCTCTGTCTCTCTGTCTCTCTCTGTTTCGTTGGTCTCTCTGTTTCGTTGGTCTCTCTGTTTCTCCGCTTCCTGTTTTTCTTGATTTTAGGTGGTTTTGTTTTTTTGTTCTTCGGCTTTGGATCCTGTCCTGGAACTCGCTCTTGTAGACCAGGCTGGTCTCAAACTCACAGAGACCCTCCTACCTCTGCCTCCTGAGTGCTGGGATTAAAGGCATGCACCCCCACCGCCTAGCTGTGTGTTGTTTTGTTATATATGTAATAGAGTTTTAGTTCTCTTTCAACTTATTGTACACAAAGCCCCTCATGTCAGTTTACACCATCAGATAAATGTTTCTCAGGTCCCCAAATCAATCCTTCCTCAGGAACTGCCTCTTGATAAACTTAATCTCTTGGGTTAATAGCTATATTTAAAATAATTTAGAAGTTGAACCACAATTCTTGACAGGCTCAGGGTTGTCTTACTGTTCCCATAATGCCTTTAGGGAAAGCAGAGTAACTATTTTATAATATAGACACATTACGGGTAGATCTAATTGTTGTGGTGATGACATTGAACTGTCTCCATTTCCCTCTTAAGGCAGTCTATACTGCTATAATGCAGTGTTGTCCTACTCAAGAGCTTGCGGTAGCTACAAAACAAAACGGCAATGAGTGTTTCTTTAAATAGAAGAGCTATACTTGTGGGCTTTCAACGCTGATATTCAGTGACCACTAATTTCATATCTTCCCAGACAAAGCTGGATTTTTATTTGTTACTGTGAAGAGGGAGTTTTAAGACCGTTAGAGATGACTGCATATAATTTATGGGCAAACTTAGAATTATCTGTACTAGGTGGACAAAGCAGTCCACAAGCTTACATTGAACAGTGTTATATTTACTCATTTCTTTAATTAATTACTGGATATTCCCTGCCTTTCTCAGCTGGGACTTCAATCAGGGGAGTATTTACAGGGAGTACTATCAGAGATTATTCAATATCCAGAAAGTTTGAAAAGAGGCCTTGATCTATTGTTCGAAAAGCACAACCAAAAGGGTGTCACAACATCTGTTTCCATAACGATGCTCCCATTCTAAGATTGGGTGGTGCCTCTCAAGCCTCAGAAGATGCTCCATTAGAGACCTATGCCAGACTTCAACAGTGCACTTGGGCATGTCCTAGAGTAATGCCCTTAAGTAGGGACCTCACCAGAGCATGCATGGCATTAGAAAAGATATTTTACTGTCAGAGGAAGATAATTTTTAAGATGTACATATTACCTCAAATTTTAGAGAATTATGATATCATTATGAGTAAAAATATGTTAATATGTATTTAAATCAATATATAAGCACATGTGTATATATATCATATACATATATGTATGTATCTAATATCTTATAAATATATCCAAATATAATGAGTGATTAACATTGGACAGGTTTGTAATTTCAAATTGTCTTAGAAATAGTGTGGCTTTTAACATTTGATAGAAGACATTTTGATAGCCTTAAATACATGAATAAAGTAGATAAATTGATGTTCCTTTTCAAATTTGACACTAAAGTTTTCGTCATAAAGCTCACCTCCCACAAAATCCCAACTCTAATCAGCACTGACTATTCCAGTTAGTGAGTAACTGTTCATATATGTCCGAAATTTTAGAGTTAGCCAAGCTGCAATTATTTATAATTTGTAAGGACTAGTATTGCAAGTCTTATTCGATGTAAAGTTATGATGAGACCAACTTTGAGCTTGTTAGTGAAGGAGATTCTAGTTAGCCTAATCTAGTTAACCTTGCAGGAAGAGCTCCTCTGAATATTTAAAATAACATTGTAAGGGTGTGGTCCTGTGCTGAGTTTAAAGGAAAAGCATCGACCAAACAGCGGTGTCCACGTCTCCCTACTATGCTACGGCAGATGCAATATAAGCAACCAGCTGCACCATGCTTCTCTGCCCTTGTGCCCCGAGATGGTCATTTGTTCAGCAGCTTCTTGTCAAGTATTTGACCACAGAAATGAGCAGAGTAACTGATACTTAATAGAAAAGAGTTTTACCAAAGACAGTCAGCTCTGCAGGGTCGCTGTCTCTTTCTCCCACCATATTGGTGCCCACACAGGTATACATTCCTGCATCACTTTTCCTGGTATTGGAGATCATCAGTTTCCCACCACGGATCTATACAAAATAAACATCAGAAAAAGAAATGGTAAAGAGAATCTAATTAATAGTTTTGAACATTTAAGATCAGCCTAAATTTGTTGCTGAAAACAATAAGAGTTCTATTTTTCAAAGAATTTAGATTGTAAGTAAAACGGCTTGTATAAACAATTGAATTTTGAGATGGTTTGATATATAGCAAAAGTCAAAGGGTATATTTTTAAAAGAAGTACACAAAACACAACCTCTAAAGACCAAATTCTCACTGGCATGGTAACTGTTCATAAAAACAATAAAGGCAGAAGCATTTGAGGATATATTGCAATCTACCTAGCATTTAGACTTCATGTAATGGTGCCATCTCAATATATACATGGTATAAATTCACATCTATAACGAATATATGCTTAAATATAGCAAATAACAGGATTTTTTGTTGAAATAGTTTTACAGTTTGATTGTTTTGTACATTGTGAAGATGTGTCTAAGCCAAGGTACCTTCTTATTGGTTTAAGAAAGAGCTGAATGGCCAGTGACTAGGAAGGAGAGAATAGGCAGGATTTCCAAGGAGAGAGAGGAGGAGGTGAATAGGGGTCCAAGGAGACACCAACAAGATGGAGACCAACTTGGCCATACAGAATGGTGGAGAGGTTAAAAAAAAAGCCATGTGGCAGAATGTAGATTAACATAAAAAGGTTAATTTAAGTTTTAAGAGCTAGTTGGGGACAGGCCTAAGTTAAGGCCAACCTTTCATAATCAATAAGAAGTCTCTGTGTCATTCTTTGTGAAAGTTAGACAATGAAATAATATTTTCCTAGTCAAATGAAACATTTATTTTTAATAAAATACATTAAATTTCAGTCACTGTATTTTATCTAAATGGGGAACTACTAAATAATATCAAATGCAAATCTTATTTCAGTGAAGCTGTCCTCATTATTTCCTTTTATAATGCTGAATCTAGCTTAATGGCTGCCATTTATATTTTAATTTCAATGTATAAAGCATAAATGACTGGTAGAAACCTCTAGAGATCAAAAATTTTAATATTACACAATAAAATCACAATTACATATTTAAATTGGTACAATCATTAGTATAATGTAGACATTTATGATTGTCTTACTGAGTCCCATCCAAAATTCAATATGTTGTATATGGTAAATTAACATTAAGATCTAATTTTGTTATTAATGTATTAACACAATTTTTTTCAGATGTGAAACTCAGTGTCTCTAGACTTTTCTTGTAAGTGGACTCACACTTATTCTCTCTTCCTTGTCATCAATTCGGACTTTGTCTTTCTTCCAATAGATGGTGGGTTCTGGGTGTCCCCGCGGGGGCTGGCACTCCAAGATTGCAGGCTCTCCAGCTGCCACTACCACATCTGTGGGGTTTTGCCGGAAGTCATCTCGCAATACTGAAAAAAATCATAACAGTTAAAAACATACTTAATGACAATATTCCATTTTGTCTTGCCAATATTAGCTTCAAGTCTTACCCACATGATACATACTAGTATTTCCAGTGCACCTAGCCACACCCACTAGAAAAATAATTCAAATTCAACTTAAGTGCCCACTGACGGGGGAAATAGATATTAAGGGGGGGCATTTATACACTCTGATTCTAAAGTCCAGTTTTAAAAATGAGATGTCAAACAGCAATGAAATAAGACATTTATGATAAAGTTCTGAGTTGTAGTAACCAAGCAAGGTATGGAACATAATGTAGATCTACTTCTATTCTATTAGGAAAAACACACATGTGTGTGTGTGTTCATATGTGCATTACAATGAGTGCCTGAGATAAACTAACTCCTGAAGCAGGCTGTACACATGTGGCATACCCTTATGTGCACACATGGGTTTATGGAGGAAATGGAGCAAGAACTCTGAGAAGCTCTCTTTCTTGTGACTTGAGCTTGGGCACACCACACAGTTATCCAACTTCAGTAGTCAGACTCAGTGATGACTTTCACAATGCACTAGCACCAATATACAAGGGTTTCATTTTTATTCTCTCTGGGTTCCCACCTGTCAAGTGACATCTGGGCAGCATGATGTGGAGCAGAGATGCCCTTCACGGCACTGTTGCAGCCTGAATCATCCCTGTGTTCATTAGTGAGGAGAACAGCAGGTTGGACCTCCCATATAACCTCCAAAAGTCTGGCATGCGTCAGAAGTCCAAATGTCACATATCTATCAGTATGATCACTTCTTCTGGCAAGCTGGGAAGTCTACATGCCCTATCAGACCTAAAAGAACTGAGTATATTTGGAAAATAGCAGCAATAACTATTTTAGTAAAAACATTCAAATAGGAGTTGAGACTGGCTAACATAATGTTTACCTTCACTGTCTCCTTGTTTCCCAACTGCATTAATTTCCTTTTCTTTGCCATTCCAACACTCACATACTCTATCCTATCTTACACAATTAGTTTTGTTTAATTTTTGTGTTCTTTGAGACAGCCTTACTATGTAGCCCAGGTTGGCCTCAAACCAATGATCGATGATTATCCTGATTGTGATTTCAGGTATATAAATAATCTACCAAGCAAGGTTTATTTTGAGTTATTTCAAGGTAAAATTTCTGTCTGTCCATCTGCATACACTGTTCCATTATATAAAATATACATATACACTTGTGGGGATGTTTGTTTATATATGTATGTGCATGTACATATAAATGCATAAATGTGTGTAAAATCTAAAACTGAATATGCTTATGCTTGTGTGTGTTGTCACTAGACAGTCTCATATGATCTGTTAGATAAAACAATTATTGTCAGTGGGGATTGTCTTCCCTGTTCTATTCTCAAACCCATTTCAGCCCTCTGCATCTTTGTTGTGTGAAATCTGTAGGTTAATTTTCATTCTCCATATAAGTAAAAAAATTCTATCCTGAAAGTGGTCCCAGAGAGACACGTGAATACCTTTCCAGGTGTTTCTTTTCTTTTCTCTCATACCACATCCGTGAACACGGCTTTTCATCTTAACGAGGTGGTTTGCTATGTAAGAGAGAAGTATGCTTCCTACTGAAGGAACAGTAGTAAAGGATTCTTTGCTTACTGTTAACTATTGACTTAGAAGCAGATTCATTTAATACCTTTCTCCTAAGGACAAGTGTCACACACTAGCACTGAGGTGTGCACAGGTTTGCTTCTCCTGTTGTCTAACTAGAAAAGGACATGTGATACTTAGTCAAAAGCATGAGAAGGGTTAACGCTGGTGTTTCCTCTTATAGGTATATCCTCCAGGGAGAAAAAGCTGGTGACTAATTTATATTCTGAACAGAGAACAGCTGCCTATTTATGCAATGCTAAGAAGTGCAAAAATATGGCAACAGGGTGATGAACCCCCTCTGTTATCCGGTCCTGGCAACAAATGGTGTTTGGGCAGACTCTCAATCTGTTCCAAAATGGCACACCTGGCCATTTGAAGGCCCTTCACCAGATCATGCCAAAGAGTCTTAGCTCCAATGGTACTAAAGACCAATGCAAACCCTTCTCAGAATCAGTCTGTATGGATTTGCAACAATCTAAATTTTGTAAAACAGCCCTTTGACATGGTGAACAAAATGAAGAAAAATATCATAACACAGTATAAGGACTGTTCCTCTGAAACAATATAACATGTGTTTATGCATTCAAAAAAAGAGGAAAATGACTCCAATTTGCACATGAAGCCAAGAAATCTAACATCATCTGTAATTTTAGGCTTTCAGACTGTTCACTCAGAGAGTAGGGTGAGATAATGGTATAATTGGTACTGTACCCTCTTCAACTTGTATTATGCTCTTTGGGGTTTGCATGTAATGCAGCTAACTTGTGTGCTCGCAGTCACACCAGTTCATTTGCACTGAATTGGGGGGTAAAACATGTCTGCTCTGTCTCACTCAAACAAAACTTAAAGCGACTGCACAATACTTCTGACGGGACATCCTAACAGGCTGAAATTTTCATTTTTCCCCTCTTTCTCTGCCTATGTAGATGTGTGTTGCATATCTGTTGCCACCAAACTGTAACATTCCATGCTAGAAGAAGTTTCCTTAAGTCTTTGGATAAATAAAACTCACAAGGTTCATGAAGTTTTGTTTTTAAAAATAATTTTGTTATATTTTGAGATTACAATTACACCATTTACCACTTCTTTTTCCACCTTCCAAACCCTTTCATATATCCCTCTTCCTTCTTTGATCTTTTTCAAATGCATGACCTCTTTTTAGTTAATTGTTCACACACAGAGAGAGAGAGAGAGAGAGAGAGAGAGAGAGAGAGAGAAGAGAGAGAGAAAGAAAGAAAGAAGAAAAAAGAAAGAAGAAAGAAAGAAAGAGAAAGAAACTCTTGGTCTGTATTACATTTCTTGTATTTTTTTCAGGGCTCATCATTTGGTATTAAAAACCAACTGAATATGGGAAAAAATAGAAGACCCCAATCCTACACAAAGAGCTAGGGTAGCTAAGGAATGCTGAAAGCTGGAAAAATAAGCCAACTCACAAAATTTTGAGAAATGCTTGCAAATTATAATATTCAAAAGACTCTGGCTGATTTTTCAAAAGCTGGGGAGAGAAGATGCTACAGGATGCTGATCTATCTCCTATGAGGAACCCCAGGGATGCAGCTTTCTTGAGTAGTGATCCCTACTGGGGTGAACCATTGGTGACTTAGATTTCTTTTAGTCACCCACACTCCTGTATGAAACCCCAAAGTCTCACTGTTCACTAAACTAGACTTGGGCAGAATATTTTGTCTGATCCATTATCATTCTGGGATCAACACAAGTTGCTTTACGTCTCTACAGTATACTGCAGTCTCTCAATAGCTTGTTTGCCCCCATTTTTCTCTTTTCATACATGCCACATTATGGTGGTCAGAGTTGCTTAAAGCAGACAGGGGGATTCTTCATCAGTCCATTCATCAGTACAAAAAGAGAATCTTAGTCTCACAACACTTGAAGCCTCAAGTTGCTGTCAAGTCCTGAGTTTGTACACAGCAACAGATTACTCTTATAATACACACGTCATGCCAGTTTATGATTTTAGATTTTGTGAATTTTTTTACTCCTTTGTCTCACATCTCCATTTCTGGTCTAGTCACCTCCTGCACCTTTTGTCTGAAGTAATCCATTCTCTGGTCTTTACGTTTTATAATCTTGGTTAGAGCAAATCATCACTCAGATATTTCTATCTGGGGTCATTAAAATAAATTAGCAATAATAATAAGGTGAGCCTAAACAATAAATGGATCTTTGAAACATACATTGCTGAAACAGGACACCCAGGCCAGTGAGGTTATTAGCAACGTAAAAACCTGAAAACATTATTGATAGAGGCAGTCGTGCACACCAATGAATAAAGAAAGCCATCCTAAACAAATTAAATAGCTTGTGAAAAAGGTAATCTAAAAAGGAATTATAATGATAAAGCTGAATAATAGCCATCTCAAGCCAAATGCAAGTAAGAGAACAATGACGCTGTGCTCTATGCAGGTAGAACATCACTCCCTGGGTGCATTGTACAAGAGCGGTGATAGCCGTGCCACAGCCCCCCTGATTTCTCTAAAGAAACCAGAATTCAAGTTCTGAGCACATAGTTAAACTTTCCAATATGAAATCTCAGTGAACCACAACACTGAGAAAAAGAGAGAGGTTTCTGCCTTGAATAGAACCAAACAGGAAATTATGGGCTGTTTTGCCATTTTTAATGCTGGGAATGGAACTTGGGACCTCACACATGTTAACGATCACTCAGCTACAAGGCCAGGCTCCAGGATATTCTTTACATTTTATTTTGTTAGCATATGTTTATTACATGTAATAATGGGTTTCATTTTGGTATCTGTACTTAATGTATTTACTCTGCCCTTCACCCTGTCACTTCTCCTCCCCAGCTAATCCCTTTCCATTTCTCAACTAGCTACTCTTCTGCTTTCATGTCTTTGGGTGTGTGTTTGCATGGGAGTGCAGGTGTGATGTGTTTGTGTGTGTGTGTGTGTGTGTGTGTGTGTGTGTGCGCGCGCACACACACACACAGATGTGCATGGCATGCCACCCAATGACCTTCACTATTGTTATTTACAGGAGTATGATAGTTTAGAAGTATTTGTACCTCAACAGTGGCTACAACATTGCAGAAAATCTTTTCGCCTCCCATTACCTGCTGACTATATATAACTCTTCAGGGAATTGTGTGGTCCCTGTGTCATAACTCTTCTACATCTGGATACTGGTGGGCCCAGTCTTGCAAAGATTTTTTTTTTGCAGGAAATCACAGGTAGATAGGTGTTCAAAAACCATTATTTACTTATGGTTGTGTATTGATACTGCTTTCATGGATTAGGGAAAAGAACCACATGAAGGTAATTTTTAATCTCTATTTTAAAGATAATTCACCAACAGTAATATCTACAATTTTTTGAA